TGAACTTCATGGAGGGGGTGGAAAGCAGAAAGGATGATGTTTTCACAGACTACTGTTCTGAACAGGAGGTCTGGTCAGCTCCCAATTTGTGTTAGAAACACAAGCCTCTGCTAACAGAACTGCAGTCCTGCCTTCTCTACCCCGCAATGGTATGTCAAAAGACAGATGTAGCCACAAAAAAAAAAAAAAAAGATTTCCAAGCCTGTATAAAGTACAGAATTTTAGCATGCGACATGTTTTGCTGAGTGATGTTCACGCTGTGCTTTGTACCGATATACTATTCAGACTGAATTTTACCCTGTAAGTGCTGACAACCCCTGTGAGACACCTCAGCAGCACAGAAAATACTAGGAAAATCCCAGTGACATTGGAAAAACAGAGCAGGAGCTGAGGTGGTTTTGGCCAGAGAGAGAAGCAAAAGAGCAAGAACTAAACGTGCCTGGTGCAGTTCTCACACTTGGAAAGAGGCAGCAGCTGGTCAGAGCCCCCCGTGCCGGAGCCGAGAGGCCGTTTGCAGAAGGCTGCTTTGTACTGCAGCGACTGAACAGGATGGCCCCAGTGAATCTGCCGCTCGCTCCAGGCCGTTGCCAAGGGTCGAACAAGCTCCACACAGAGCCAGGGACAACCAGGGCCGCTCTGGAGCGTGCGCGTACAACAGTGAGGGCAAGCAGTGCAGCAGGAGATGCTTTTCTGCCAGGCTGGCCAAAGCCTGACCAAGGCTGAGTGAGGACTGTCCCAACAAGGGCAGGGCAGCCTCCTGTGCTGCAGACCAGCTGGTACATGTCACAGGGCTTTGGCACTGGCTGCCTGAGCGCTGGCTACACAGAACTGCAAGATGTGGAAGGCAGCAAGAGCCAGGGACTGCCCCACACCTCCACTGCACACACGCTGGTAGCAAATGCCCATGCACCTCTGCAGCAGTTCTCTGCTATGTGAAATCACAGTGGAAAAGGGCTTAACAGGCAAAGCTTGAGAGACCTTTTCCAGAGGTCTAAGATGCCGACTTGGGGCTCTCCCAACACTTTCCTGCCTTTGGAATGAGCACAGACTCCCCTGCTCCCCACGGTGCAGCCGCGCCGCTCTGCTCCTCCTGCTGGCCTCTCCGGAAGGTGCCTCCATGCAGGGAATCCCTACGCAGGGTGTTCTCCTGGTGCCGTGGAAACTTAGAGCGGTGTGGAGATCAGATGCAGCTTCCATGAAGTTTCGGGTCTGATTCTCCACACCGCTCTAAGTTTCCACGGCACCAGGAGAACACCCTGCGTAGGGATTCCCTACAATTGGAAACTATTGCATCTCTTAAAGAGCAAAGTTCAGACCTTGTAAGATGTTACAAATTAACCTTCAGTGCATTTCAGGAAGAATGCCTACTAGTTGCACTTTGTCAACTGGCTGAACTTTAAAAAGATCCAGCTAATCTTCAAAAGCTTTTACTGTCTGAATTTACAAATTAAAGTTGTTATGCCAGATAAGAGGATCAGAGTGGGTATAAACCTTGCACCTTCTGGAAAAAAGCGGCCTTTTCTTTCTAGTAGACAAGTTTCCAGTGAAGTTCTTACTTTAACTGTGGGCCCAATTTTCCTGCAAGTTCACAGCTTGTTACACGTGGAAACGATTCACCTCAGCACAGCACACTCAGAACACCACTGGCAAAGATATTCCTGTTTGTCTGGCCCTTCATAATATTTGTGTTTTACCAATCAGACTGCAAGCAGCTCAGAGCACATCCATTTTTAAATTACACTCTTGTGTGACCCCTGATCAAAATCAGCTTTTCATGTAGTTTTGGTCCCATCATACTCAATGTGCTTCTGGACTGATCCATCCTGGCTATCCCAGATAATTTTTCAGCTAATTATTTGGAGAGAACAGCTTCCAGCAGGGTCTTAGAGAAGGCTCTGAGCTAGGTGCATCTCTGTGAAGCAAAGCAGACAGGGCACGCTGATGAGTGTGGCTCAGAGACCAGGAGGTGGGAGGGATCCCTGGCGTGCAGCTAAACTGAGGCCGGGGCCGCGCCAGGGGTACTCACTGTCAGCATGTTCTCTGTCAAGATGAGTTCTGACAGATTTTCACAGTCTCCAATCGACTCTGTCACCTCTGTCAGCCGATTCTGGTCCACCTTCAGGATGGAGAGCTGCTTCAGTTGACCTGGCGAGGGCAACAAGCTACGTGTGAGCTATGTCACAGCAGCAAGATCATGTCCCATGTTTATCTGGCTGAATTGCCTCCTATCAGGATTATCCAATTCAGCAGCCCTGGCACTATCCTTCCTCCTCAGTCCTCCTCACAGCTTCCACCCATGCACAATGCAGATCGAGAACATCAACTAGTCACGTAGGGTCCTGCTCACCAGCACCTCCTGCTCCTGCAATCTTCCACCATGATTGTGCTCAGGAAATGGTAATACCCCGTTACACACACCCTTGCCAAGCCTCCAAAACACTCTGGGGGCAGCAGAGGCTCCTGCCCTGGTCCCCGTCCCACAGTACTCACCAATCCCATCTGGAATGCATTCCAGCAGGTTCTGCGACAGCAGCAGGTCTGTCAGTGCTACCAGCCCACTGACCTCATCGGGCAACTGCTCCAACTTGTTTTCTGACACATCCAGACAGACCAAGCGGCGCAGGTTGCCCAGCTCCTGGGACGAGAAAGGAGATGACCTATGGCTCAAGGGAGCAGCAGAGAAGGGAGCCATGTGGTGAGGCATAGCCTGAGCGGGTACTCACGGGAGGCAGGGTCGAGAGTTGGTTCCGGTCCAGCCAGAGCTCGCGCAGGTTTGGCAGCGCTCCCAGCGTGTCCGGCTGTAGCACATGAGCAGAGCGTTAGCATCAGCCCCTCGCGCAGGGGAGAGGCTCCTTCGCAGCGCCCCAAACCTCAGCAAACCTTTGCAGAGCCCATCACTATCACAGCTCTCCTACCTCCAGGAACCGTCCCCCAATCGTTTTGATACTGACACACCGATATGCCACAGTGCAGCAGGACATGTGTTTGGAAGCCCCTGGGGTGTCACACTCCCTGCAGAGGCTCCCAAGAGGACATGTGGAAGAGGACAGCAAGGACTGCCTGGTAGCACGTTGGTAGGAGCTAGAGAGGCTTTGAGGGGCTGGTCCCTCAGAAGAAATGTGTCTGCTCTTCAGAGACAGGGATGAAAATGTTTCAACAGCACTGGCCGCTCCAGCACGGTGTACAAACACCATCAGCCGTGACAGATGCATTCACTGCATCCCTGAATTTTGAATCAAACAATGCACATACTGACTATCATTTCGCTTGGGAGTCAATGCACCACTGAGGTGAATTCAAGTGTTATAAAACTGCTCTCACAAGCAGGTTGCAGCCTTGGACCTGATAAGCTGTACCAGCAACTTGTTTCCCATTTTAGGCAGCTTTCCACCAAAAAGCAACCAGAACGTCAGGAGCAGGGATTGGTAACAGCTTAATCCACAGCTACAAAATGAAAGGACCCTGAGGGATGCCCCCAAACACCAAGAGGAGCCCAAGATCCTGTCCTGGCTCTCAACGCTCCCGGGCTGTGGAGCCCTCCATGGTGGCACCGCCATCCCTGGGGAGCTCCACGCTTGGGGAGTCACCAACTGGAACAACATGGAACGGCCCTGCGCTTACTTTCTAGCAGAGAATTGAAGTCAAAAAGGAGAATGGAGGAAAAATGGCCTAGCAGAAGTGAAGCAGCAACTGACTGCGGCATAGGGCAGCACAGAAGAGAAAGGGAGTAACAAGCAGAGTCTCTGAATGAGAAAGAAAAGATCTTGCGGCAGCTAGAGAGGAAGGCAGAACATCCCCGTGCAACAGGGTTGCAGAGAACAGCACGAGGTGTGCAAGAGGGAGGAAGGTGCATGGCCAACACGCAACGAAAACGTTATGGGAACAACGTTTAGGTCGTACAGGACAGACCACAGTCTTTCCAAACAACTTTAGGTTCTAGTCCTTTGTATTTCAGATGAAACAACACTTGCTTCCATGGGGTACTGCCCCTCCCAACCATCCACGTTCCCTCCCCACCATCCCTCACCTACCAGTACTTCCAGGTCATTGCCACCAAGATCCAACTGCTCTAACTTGACGAGGAATGAGAGTGAACTGCAAGATACAGGGAACAGAGGGGAAGAGAGAGAGACAGAGAGAGAAAGAAAGGAAGGTTAGCATCAGGAGCACACATCTCACAAACCACATAACTTTGAAGAATGCCTAAAACAGATGGGGCAGCTCCGGCCCTTTCCTACACCCTCTCAGCTACGCAGGTTAGAGGTGACCCAAGAAGTCCCAAAGTGGTCGGTTTCTCTATTAACACCAAGCTGCTCTCTCCCTACCACCAAAAAATACACTTTCCTTGGGCAAAAACACAACAGATGACAAACCGGGAGCCAGGACAGGGCGGCCCACGGCCCTGACGAGGAGCTGCTGGGACAGGGCGGCCTCCAGCCCCGGAGCACCTGGATTCGGCGCCTCTCTCCATGCAGGCTCCACTCCCCAGCTCCAGCCCTGCCTCCCCAGACAAGGCAACTGAGTCACAGAAAAACTCAACTCAGGCTACGGGAAAGAATCTTAATTCTGACCCAACATGGAGGGTCTGTAGCCCTTTTGATTCTGTACATAAAGAACTGCTCTCATATAGAACCACTGCATTTCTCTGAGGAATACATCTACGTATTTCCATCATCCAAACTAAAGGGCAACTCTGACGGGCCCCACATGAGAGGTTCATGTCTAACCTCATCAGTTCTCCACCTCCTGCCTCTTTGGTTGCATCACAGCTGGACCAAGAGATGCTCTGCCAGGAAGCCATCTCTCTTCCTACACCCACGTCAGTACATTTTTCTCTCTTTTTCCAAAACAATCTGTCATTTGCTCCATTTTGCAAGGGAAGAGGGAGCACTTCCAGAGACTGTCTCGGAACCCTGTCTATTCCAAATCATCCAGCATAAACTTTAAACACCCTTCCCAGTTCTCGAGTCCTGCACCATCTCTCTCCCTCCTCACCCAAATCTACAGAAATCCAGCCAGATACATTAACCTCCTCGAAGCCTCGTACCCTCCCAAGCAAAGTGCTACAGCCTGTGTAGAGCAATAGCAAGTCCCAGAGGAATGCAGCAGTAATAACCAGTTCGGAGTCTCCTGAAGCCTCCAGACAGACACTCACGTGGGGAGAGTCTTGAGGAGGTTCTCACGCAGCTCCAAGGTCACCAGGTTTGCCAAGCTGCAAGAGAAAGAGGAACAGGGGAGCCAGAGTCAGTGGAGGTGCCTGTGGAACACAGGAGATGCTCGAACCTTCCCTGGGACAGAGCCCAGGGCCTGCACACATGAGCACTATGAGTATGAAGGCAGACATGCACACGGCAGGGGAACACACAAACCAAAGGAGCCTTAAACTGCTCATGGTGATGGTGCTTTCCCATTGCAAAGTCATGGGGAAACAAGGCTGTGTCCAAGCCCTGGGCAAGGGAACGCAGTATCATCCCCAGGCCATCTGCCCAGGAGCACGATGACCCTCCGTGCAGGAGCCCAGCCTCAGGGAGGACTGTGGCACTGCCGGGAGGGCTGTGAGGGCTTCGCCCTGCACCATGCGCCCCACAAGCACTGGCAGGCAGGACCCATCTGCCTGGGAGGAGGCAGAGGGGCGCTCAGATAGGAAAAGGCACCCTTAGGATTTGGGTGGCCCTGGGCTCACTCCTTGCAAGCACCAAGCGCTGCCTTCGCCCTCAGGAGAAGAGGGATAACCTGGAGCCAGGGCCATGTATCTAGCTGCTGGGTTATGCAGGGGTTCAGGCGTAAACAAAAAGCTGAGCACTATGAACTTGAGCAGAATGATGAACTGTTACTCTCACCAACCCTCAGGGGAGGCTGCTTCCCACCCAGTTACAACGCGTCCACATCAGCAACTAATCTCACACAAATGGAAAGGCAGAAACTCTACTGGGAGAGCAGGGGAGAGGCAGCAGCAGCCTCCAGGCAAGGAATCTCTCTGCACCATTCTGATTTAAGAGCAGGGCTCGGAGGCGCACAGAAGCGCGTTCAGGGCAGGGATGGGCTGGGGCTGGGAGGTGCCCACTCCCCACAAGCCCTGCTGGCCTCGCCACCCCGGAGCGAGCCCACGGCACAACATACTCACTTCCCAATGTCGCTGGGGAGGCTCTGCAGGGACACATCGTTGAGGGCCAGGTGGCCCAGGCTCCGCAGCTGCGTGAAGCCCTCAGGGAGCCTGGAACACACGACAGGGTGGCAGGACACTCAAGGTCTGTGCACAAAACAAGCCCTGGGCACCTCATCACATCCGTGAGACCCCAGCCTGGTCCCACTGTGTCAACACGCGCCAAAGGAGAAAGGCAGGAACCTGCTCTGACCTCGGCTCCTGAGCTAGCACCCCCATTCCCAAGGCTCCAATGTCCCCTTCCAGCAAAGGGGCTGTGTGTCCCATTGGGCAAGGCCGGCTCTGGGGTGCTCATGCACAGCTCCCAGGCTGAGCTTTGCCATGGGGTCCGTCAAGCTTGGAAGAAGGAAGGGCTGCCAAGTAACGTCCCCCTATAGCCAAGGATCTTTTCCAGAGGACACTGGTGCATGTCCCAGAAGCAAGTAGTATCAAAGCAGCTCCAGGGTGCAACAGAACAGCAAAAGACCCGTAAAGAAGATGCATCCTTCGCTGTTTACAGACTGCTCCTGGGGCTGTTCTGCCCCGTTGCTCTTGCAGACATTCTACACAGCCCAGGCCACAAAAGGCCTCTGCCAAACAGCTTTTAAAGCGAGAACTGCTGCTGTTCAGGGATTCACACTGCCTGAAAAGTTATACCATCCGGACACCGTTTGACACTACAAGAGGGAAACAGAGTTAAATCTACTTGAAATGGCAATTTGGGCCACGCTTGCCCAGGAGCACAAACGGCAGCAGGTATCTAGAGTAAAAATGACACCTCCAGGGATGCTGGTAGAGAACGCACGGAGCCATCGGGGCCCGAAAACACGGCCTGTAAGCACAGATGAGCCCCAGCCAAACTGCCCAACGCATAGACCAAGAGCTGTGGAACCCCGAGACCGAGGAGAGGGCAGAGCCCTGTTCCCAGCAGGGCTCTGGCACCCAGACATATCTGCAGATCTTGTCCAAGATGGAGGGATCACGGACTTGGACTTCAAGGGAAGCTGATGACAAGATGAAGACTCAGGAGAGCTCTGGAGAATGAGGAACCTCCGCGCTCATTCTCAGCTGAGCAAGAGGACTGCGTGCCTTCCTACCTGGAGAGAGGGTTCCCGCTGAAGTCTGCGATCTCTAAGGATTTGCAGAATTTGATGCTTTCGGGAATTTCTGGAATGTCTGGAAAAACATGTGAAACAAAAAAGAGGCTTGAGAAGAGCCTATCAAATAGAAAACGAGACAAAAGGTACCAGTGGCAGCCTGAGACACAGCACCACAATCAAATGTCACAGCTCAGAACCCACGAGAGATCCCTGTGTGGGGTCTGCGGAAGGGCTGCGCCGACTCCGGAGCAGAGGAGCACGGAGCAGAGCAGGCAGCACCGGCGCAGTGGAAAGGCAGGAGGCCACGGCCCGAGCTGGGTGCTCTAGCTCCGACCTTACCGTTACGGGAGATGTCCAGTTCCACCAGCTGCATGAAGTTGGCAACCTCGGGGGGGAGTCTCTGGATTTCATTGTCGCTCAGGCCCAGCTTGCGCAGGCTCAGCAGCCTGAAGAACGGCTGAGATGGGGAGAGAACAAAGCCGGGTCAGCAGCAGCTCCATGGAAAACCTGTCTTCTCACCTCGGGGCAAACCCGAGCATCTACCCTCGTTGGAGACAGACTTTTCTCATAACCTCTGGCCTGCTGAGGCCCTTGAAGGACAACTACTGAGCAGATAAGAACCCCACTTATGGTCTGCAGGAAATGAGGGTAAAAGGAAAAAGGCATTTAGTGAGATTAGCTTTGTGATTCATTTAACATCTATATTATCACACTAATGACCCCCTTTCCTTGCAGGGTGCAAGCTGGAAGCTCCCTGGAGCAGAAATATGCATCTGTTTCCCTATACAACAACATGTCCCAGGCGCCGGAGCTTCCCGAGCAAGTCACTATAAGGGCACAACAGTTGGCACTTTAGTGTTGTGATGTTCACAACACTATGACCCAGAGAGGACAACCACAAAAACGAGCACCAGGAACACGAAGCTGGAAGGAACTATCTGATCAAAGTCCTGTCCTTGGTGTCCCCCACATCTGCACGGAGCAGCGCGTTTCATCGGGAACATCCATGACAGGTCTCCAAGGCCAAGCAGAAAGGGTTGGGCTGCTCGAACCGGCAAGGAAAAGGCGCACGCAAATGATCCAGAGGGCTCAAGTGACCAGGAAGCAGTGGAAGAAAATCTTCCAAGAAACATCAGAATAGGAAAAATTGACTGGAAGGGACCTCTAGAGGTCTTCTAGCCCAACAGCAGCCAAATTATTAAATTGTTGAAGTCTTAAATTCTTGTAATTCTTCCCAAGCTTGCTCTCAGAAGTGAGTTTTATTAGCTATAAAGGGTAAATGAGATGATCCATCCATTATCCTCTTTCTAGACAATTAAGTTTTCTGCACATAACTTGTGGTATATCCGTACAGTCTTGCAGCTGCTCCTAACCATGGTTGCACATAGGATACTGGATGGGATGAACCCAGGGCTGCAGAGTTTGCCGTATTTCCTGGACCATTTCACTGCGGGCCGGGATAACAAACAAACAGTATTAGGCCACTGCAGAAAACCTGAGGGATTTCAGAGGTTCCCCCATAACCCACAAATAAAGGCAGCGACTGTTACACACACCCCAAGCCTCTAATCACGGGTTTGGGAGCTGCCACAGTACAGACAATTACTCTGTGGTATCTCTGTCAGCCTATGGGTTTTAGATGGCCGAACTACAAGACGGCAACACGCTCAACCACCGATGCAGAGGGCAGAGAGAAAGGCAGGAGCGGAGTCAGCCCACGCAGCGACGCACAGGCGGCTTCCCCCGTGGAGCCAGGGACACCAGGGCCACGAGCAGCAGGAGGTGGAAAAGCCAACGCGGACGCAGGTTGGAAAGCGGCCCTGGCGCGTGGGAAGGGCTACTCAGCCTGCAGGGAAAAGGAGCAAACAAGACTCCGAAGCCTGGGCTTCCTTCCCCGAATGCTTTTCCTGGAATCCTGTTGCGGAAAGGCCTGCTGGAGCAGACCTGCCCCAGGAGCAGCTGCTGGGTGCTGAAACCTGTTCATCTTCAGAAGGACAGAAAATGAAAAAAAAAAAAAAAAAAAACTCCCCCCTAACATTGCAGATACACCAGTATCCGCTGCCTTTAACACGGGCTGAAAAAAGGAAAAAGGAGAGAGAAGTGAAGAATGAAGAGTTCATGTAGAGGGAGACAGCGGCCGCCGAGGGCCTCGCTCCCCGCACGGGAAGGGAGGGCGCTGGGGTCTGAGCCGCCCTGGGCAGCTTCGCTGCTGCAGTCACAGCCCTGCAGCTTCACACGCAGTGTCCTCGCTGCCGGCTCCCGCCACACGGCCTTGGTGACACCGAGGTTGTCACCTCCAGCAATGCCTCGCAAGAGGCAGGACGCTCAGCGGGAGCAGCGGGACGTGGGTTTAGGCTCCCTGTGCCCCGCAGCACAAAGCGAAGCTCTGCCCGGAGAACAGCCCCCAACCCCGAGCACCAGGAGCTCTTTAATTCAGCGTATCCAATGCAAAGCAGCCTAACAAGAAAAGAAGTAGGTGAAAGTCTTAAATGACAACAACATTTCAAGCCAGAACAGGAGATTTAGCGACCTGATTTGCTATTGTTTCCCAGCTCCTTCTCCTAATTTTAGGATGAAAGGAAATTCCAAGCAACAAATGGTGTTGACCTGGCGGAGTCCACGAGCTAAATACAGTGAAGGGCACAGAGCATGTCTATTCCAAATGTGCAGCAATTCCGGCTACAGACTCCAGGCAGTCTTAAAACAAACATTCTTTTTCCAAACACATTTTTGTCTGGAATACACTAGGATAAGATCATGCTGTGCATTGCAGTGCAAAATATATGGGATGTGTTTGCTTGGCACAACAGATTTCAAAGCCACCCATCTCCAGGACAAACTGGCAGCAGTGAGGAGCTGACTGCAGCTTTGCTTACAGTTATTATGATTTACCTTTTTAGCTATGTCACCAAAATCAAAGCAATGTACCAGTTCCTGAGCACAGAAATTGTTAAATTGCCGTAAACTGCATGGATACAAAACAAGCTGCATAACAGAGCTTTCATTACCATAACCATGTTACTGAAGATCATCAAAGCCTCTGTGCGCGCGCACACACACACACGTGAAGCGCAGAGCAAGCTTTATAATCCGGCTGTTGCGACGATCTCACAGTTCTTCCTGCCCAAATAATTTTGCTTCAGGAAGACATCTGATCAAATACACTGCTCCAGAATACCTCGCTTGTAGTTTTTCGTAAATGTCAGTTTGTTAAACAGTTTCCTCAGAGCCCTGATGCCAGACTCTCCCTCCAGCAGGAGGACAGCCGGGTCATACCTTCTGCTCCTCAGTGTGCAGTGAAGCTGTGCCCGAATGAAATATTGCAATGTGACAGACGTCCCAAGTGGTCAAAAGTCAACACTGAAGGTCACGGAAACCATGGTTTGCTCAGCAGGGCAGGAGAGGCGCGTTCCCAACGCGCGTGGAGCCGCTTCGAGCTCCCCAGGGCCCGCACACCTAACGCGATGCCACGCGACACCCGGTCACCAAGAACTGGCAGGACAGCGAACAGCAGAGCTGACCCCACGGGGGTCATCCCCACCCCGACTTACCGAAACGGCAACTTCAGCTCCTAACCCTGAGCAAAACTTACAAAGCAGGACTGCACAACAGAACTGTTGTGACGCTGGGGATAAGCAGAGAATAAGTTAATTTTAAAAGCGTTACTAACACATGGAGTGAAAACTCAAGCAAAAGTCTCTCTGGGGACTGGCAATTACCTCTTTTCTAATCAAGGTCAGCCTGGTTACATACAAATACTAGAAAATGCACCGTTTTGGCAAAACCACTCTGCATGTGTCTGAGATCAACTACACACAGCTGTCAGTTCTCTCAGCACTCTCCCCTCATCAGGACTTAGACCACGGTTCTTCAACCCTCCGGGGACGGTGACTCCCCCGCTGCCGCGGGCAGCCTGTCCCAGCGCCTCCCCAGGTGCTCAGTGCCTATCTGCACCTACGTCTACCCAAGCGGCTCGGCCTGCGGCTGCAGCATTGGCCAGTGCTGCTCCCCTGTCTGGGAATGGGGGCAATCGCAGGAAGGGGTGAGCACAGGCCCCATCCGACCGCCCGCTGTCATCCTCACGCCCTAAGCACGGCATCACTGCCCCGTGGCGACGCACGCGGTCGGCACCAGCGCGGGCGGTGCTGGAAGAGAGGAACCCCTTCTCCTGAGCAGAGAGCGAAGCCTCACACTCATCCCGTCCCTTCCTTGCCCATTAATCAGGGATTTCGGGCTGCGCAGCTCCAGGAGTGGCTCCTCCCGCGCCGCAACGCGGGAAGCAGAGCCCACGCATGGGGCACCTCGCTGCCCGTGGGTGTCAGCGCAGAGCTTCCCGCGTGATTAGGAAAGCAGGAGACGTTTCTGGAAAAGCAGCTGCATGCAGGCTGCAAAGGGGCATGTGGGAGGCATGGGCAGAGAGGAACGCAGACGTACAAATCTGGCAGCAACCTGCAGCATGGGGCAGGCCCCAGCGTCGCGGAACGGCTGGGCTCAGGGGGTACCTCTGGGATCAGCCGGTCCCAGCCCTGGTCGAGCAGGGTCAGCCACAATGGCTTGTTCAGGGCCACAGCCAGTCGAGTTTGGGGTATCTCCAAGAACTGAGGCTCCATAACCTCTCCAGATAACCTGTTCCACTGTTGGACCATTCTTACAAAACATAAAAAAGTTTTTTACTGGATGTTTAAGCAGGATTTCCTGTATTTCAGTTTGCGCCTGTTATCTCTTGTCCGTTTTGCTAGGCATCACTGAGGAGAGTGTGGCTCCGTCTTCATTACTGACTCTCCCCAGGTGTTTCTAACATCGATACGGTCATGCTGAGCCTCCTCTTCTCGAGGCTCAACAATCCCGGCTCTCGCAGTCTCCGCTCGGCTAACAGATGCTCCAATCCCTTAATCATCTTTGTGGCCCTTTGCCGCACTTGCTCCAGGATGTCCATGTCCCCATGGCTCCGGGAGGCTCCAGACATGGCCTCAGCCCCATGGAGCAGGGGGCAGGATCCTCCTGGCCCCACTCCTCCTGATGCACCCCAGAGGCTGTGCCTCTGCTTCAGGGGCATATTGCAGGCCCATGTCCAACCTGATGCCCACCTGGGCAACCCTCGCCCCTCATGTCCTTTGCTGCCGAGCTGCTCTCCAGAAGGTCATTCCCAAGCCTTTACCCCTTACTGCTGCTTTGAGTTACTCCCCCCAGGTGCAGGACTTGCCCTTTCCCTTTGCTGAACTTCTCAGCCCATCTCTCCAGCTTGTCCAGGTTGCTCTGACGGCAGCACAACCATCTGCTACCCTCAAAGCCACACGCAGGGCCCACGTGCACACGCAGCGCAGTCCCGACGGGCCTGCTTACGTCGCTGGTCAACCTCTCGGGTACAAGAGGCTCTAAGAAACACCTGAAGGAGCTTCCGTCCTCGCCGCTGCAATCAGCACATCTCCACCTAGGCTCTGTTTCTCTGCCTCACTACCCTTCTCCAAGCCTCAGTCACACCTCCGACTGCCCAAACTCCTATCTGCAAAGCACCCAGCGTTACTGAAGAGGCTGTGGCAAAGCCCCAGGGCATGGAAAAAGGCCCGCAGAGCTACGAGGTCAGCCTGGATAAGCACAGCCCTCCAACGGCAATGCTGAGAATTTGGACCCTGTCCTTACGGATTCCGGTTCTGCTCCTGCAGCGCCCAGCAGGGCTGTGCCTCCTCCCTCTGCCCACTTGTTCGACCAGATCAAGAGGTGGAAAATGAAGAAAGGAGAGAGCACAATGGATAAAAGGATCAGAACAAACCCTCTGAGCTACCACTTATCTCGGCAGGTCCCCAGACACAACCAAGCCCTGCGGGTTCCCTCAACAGGGTTAACGGCCAAGCGCAGCCCACGCAGCAGGCAGGGACCCTCTCCAGCAGCTCCGTGGCACGGCATGGGGACCCCACAGCGCAGGACGGCGCAGCCCGCGCTGCAGGCAGGGACCCTCTCCGGCATCTGACCGCGCAGCCCGCGCGGCAGGCAGGGACCCTCCTCGGCATCTTCGCAGCACTGCATGGGGACACCGCAGCGTGGGACAGCACAGCCCACACAGCAGACTGCTGGGGCCCACGGAGTCGTGGCCATGGAGCCAGGGATAGGCCCACAGCCACATGCCCATCCCGATTCCCACATCGGCAAGAGCACAAGCACCTGCTCCCCCA